GTGACAGGGGGTGGCGCTGCAACCTCCCCATCGACCCTGCCTTGAGTGTGACAGGGGGCGGTGCCCCAACCCCCCAATCGGCCCTACCCTGAGCGTGACTGAGGGTGGCATTGCAACCTCCCGATCCGCCCTGCTCTGTGCATGACGGGGTGGCGCCCCAACTCCCCAATCGGCCCTGCTCTGAGCCTGACCAGGGGCTGCACCTAGGGATTGGGCCTGCCCTCTGCCACCTGGGAGCAGGCCTAAGCCAGCAGGTCGTTATCTCCCGAGGGGTCCCAGACTGCGAGAGGGCACAGGCCGGGCTGGGGGACCCCCCACCCCCGAGTGCACAAACTTTTGTGCACCGGGCCTCTAGTTTCTTTTATAAAGACACATCAGTGGATTTAGGGCCCACTCTAATCCAGTATGACCTCATGAGGTTCCAAGTAAATGTGAATTTTGGAGAAATACCATGCAGTCCAATATAGATGGGTAGTTAAGATAAGGGGATGTTACCATATGAGATGCCACTTTATAACTACTAGGGTGGCTGAAATAAAAAAGACAAACAATAACAAGTGTTGGTGAGGATATGGAGAAATTGGAACCCTCATAACACTGCTAGGTGGGATTGTAAAGTGGTCAGCCACTTTGGAAACATTCTGGCATTTCCTCAAAAAGTTAAACATATAGTTACCATATGACCCAGTAGTTCTACTTCTAGGTATATACCCAAGAGAATTGAAAAAAATTTACCCACACAAAATAAAATCTGTCCATGTATGTTCATAGCTTTATTATTCATAATAGCGAAAAAGTGGAAATAACCCTAAATGTCAATCAGTTGATGATTGGGTAAACTGTGGCAGTTGTACAATAAAATATCATGCAGTCATAAATAGTATGAAGTACTGACAAATTCTGCAACATGGAGGAACCTTGAAAGCTCTATGCTAAGTGAAAAAAGGCAGTCATAAAAAACCACATATTGTTTGATTCCATTTATTGAGATTAGTGGTTGCCAGGAGCTAAGGAGAGGGAGGAATAGGGAGTGACTGCTAATGGATATGGGGTTTCTTGGAGTGATGAAAATGTTTGGAAATTAGTGGTGATGATTATGAAACTGAGTTTACTAAAAACCAATTGGTTGTATACTTTAAAAAGGTAAATTTTATGGTATGTGAATTATGTCTTAGAGCTGTTATTAATAAGAAAAGCAAGGGGATGTTTGATGTATTTCTAGGCTGAAGAGAGACAAACCCTTGGATGGTCGCAACATTGCTTATCTTGGTCCAGTCACATGGTGACTTCTACCTGTTACAGCAGTATATTGGAGCTCATGATTTTAATAAACTATATAAGTTTAGTATATCTAAAATATATTTAGCACAAATATGTCTCATAAATAAAAATAGTATATAATTTAAGCTGTGAATTCTAAAAGGTGGACTAGAAGATGATTATATAAATCATACCAGGTATTGTTCTAGATGTAAGAATAAGAAAATGAATTTACCTAAGTTTAAATTTTTAGTATAGACCATTGTGGAAAATGTCTTTCCTTAACCTTAGGGTAAATATCCTATATAATAAAAGCCTAATATGCTAAGTGTCCATTCGTCCGTTCAACCAATCAAAGCGTAATATGCTAATGATATGCTAAGGCCGCTCAACTGCTCGCTATGATGTGCACTGACCACCAGGGGGCAGACGCTCCAACCGGTAGTTTAGCTTGCTGCTGGGGTCCGGCCAATCAAGACTGAGCGAGATGGGCACGCCCTGGAGCCCTCCCTCGGTCTCTCCCCGGCTGGCCAACCTCCTGCATCCCTCCCTGGCCCTGATTGTGCACCAGTGGGGTCCCTCGTCCTGGTCTGCACCCTCTCACAATCCGGGACCCCTTGGGGGATGTCAGAGAGCTGGTTTCAGCCAGATCCTGCAGGCCAGGCCAAGGGACCCCACTGGTGCACGAATTCATGCCCTGGGCCTCTAGTGATTATTATATTGGCCTACCTACAAAAGAAATAGAACATTTTTTTTTTTCAAAAATATATTTTATTTATTTTTTACAGAGAGGAAGGGAAAGGGATAGAGAGTTAGAAACATCGATGAGAGAGAAACATCGATCAGCTGCCTCCTGCACACTCCCTACTGGGGATGTGCCCGCAACCAAGGTACATGCCCTTGACCAGAATCGAACCTGGGACCCTTCAGTCCACAGGCCGACGCTCTATCCACTGAGCCAAACCGGTTAGGGCAGAAATAGAACATTTTAATTCCACCAGAGTTATATTAATTTCAGATATGATAATGTTGACACATTCTTAAAATCATGTTTTAAAAATAATCTGTTCATTTAAAGGGCCCACTTTAATGATTCATCATTGTATATTGAGACAGATTAGTAGCTAACATTTGAATATTATTTTGTATCAAGCAGTTTTGTCTTCTTATGGACCATCTTCTAAAATCCTCATAGCAAGTCCTTTGAGATGTAGAGAAATGAGGGAACTTGCCCAATGTCACATAACTAACAACTGGAAGAACTGGGATTTGAACCCAAGCAGGCCATCTTAAGGAAAGCAGCCTGTGTTCTTAGCCACAGGTTATGTGTCTTTCTCAAAGTAGATTAGGATATTTAATGAAAAGTTCTTGAGATTTGCAGGGGTAGATCAGATCACAGTTGAAGTGTGAGTTTAAGCACTATATTAGTTAGATGTATAGGGGCAGAAAATCTTTGTCTGTGGGGACATTAACATAATTTTCTTTATTTTTCCCTGCCAGTATGAGGTGAAAGCTCCTGTTCCTTCTCCTTGTTTCAGGAATATTTGTAAGCAAATGACAAAAATGCATGAAGCTATAATTGACCTCCTTCCAGAAGAGCAAACACAAGTGAGTAGTAATTCCTAAAACTACTTTTTATATATAATATATAATATATAATATGCATGTAGAATTAGAATGTTTTACATACTTTTGGCACAATTAAGCTTAGTTCATATTCTAATATGATTATTTTTTTAGGTTGTTATATTGACTTATGGAATATAGATAAAAATTTCTGATTTCAAAGTGCCCTTACTCTAAGTCAAAGCAATAATAGCTTTGCTATATGGTTAGCAATTCTAAAAAGCACATTTTCCATTTGTCCATTAGGTATTAGAGATCCCAGATTCTGTTTACACCATTTATTATGTTATTAGCTTAAAAATCAGAATTGTCATTTATCAATGAATATGAAGTATATTATTAACCCAAATTGGATAGGGGAGGAATTAGTGATAGTTAATAATCAAATGGCACATAAAGTAAATATGTCTTATTAATGTTTATATCAGCATAAGTGATCTGTAATAGGCACAAACCAGGAAAAAGCAAAATGTGTAGTCTTTAGCACCTTCCACCTATGAAGTATCCACCTACTGTCCCTGCTGTCTTCGTCTACAGAAATATCACAGAGTTCTCTTCACTTTTTTTTTTTTAAATAAGAGAAAGTTTATTTAGAAAGTCACAGAGGTAGAAAAAGGGAGGTGTAGAAGAAATGGGCTCAGGAAACAAGTTACAGAAGCAAAAGAAGGGCTCTTGGAACTTAGGAGAAAGAGAGGCAAGAGAAATGAGCCTGGGGGACGGGGACAGGGAAAGGCACTGGCTTGAGAGAGACAGAGAGAGAGAGCCACTCTCTTCACTCTTCAGTGACATTCCTACTTCCCATTTCCCTTGGTTCCCTCTCAGTACTTCAAAGGTTCCAGTATTATTTTTTTTCAGTCTTCTTTACCCACATTAGTTTAGCTTATTCCCTTATACCAGACTAGAGGCCTGGTGCATGAAAATTCATGCACTGGATGGGGGGGTCCCTCAGCCCGGCCTGCCCCCTCTCACAGTCCGGGAGCCCTCAGGGGCGGGAGGCGACCCCTGATCAGGAGAAGGCGATGCCCCATCACACCTCTGCTGCTGCCACTGCCAGCAGCGCAAGCCTTGGCCGGCCCTGGTTACCTGAGCCTCGGGCGGCCCTGGGCGGCTGAGGGCGCTGAGGGCACTGGGGGACTCCGGAGGCAGGTGCCCCGGCGGGGCTGAGGGGATTGGGTGCCACCATCTTGTGGCTGTGGGCGCCACCATCTTTGAGGGTGTGGCTGCAATTAGCATATTCCCTTCTTATTGGCTGTGGGCACCATCTTTGAGGGTCTGGCATTCAATTAGCATATTCCCTCCTTATTGGCTGTGGGCGCCGGCATCATTGTGATGGTGTGAGGGTCAATTAGCATATTCCCTCTTTATTAGTATAGTTGTAGAATGATAGTGTTATAATCCTAGTTTTTGTTTGACGTATAAACTTAACTTTCACTGGGATTTTTGCTATTCAGACAAGTTTGTTATTTCAATTTGTCTAATTGGTTCAATTCATGGAAATGTTATTTGGGAGCAAAGGTAGCTTTCTTAGTTACTCTTGCTCCTGCTAGTCTCCTTTCCCATGCCACTTCAGGCTTCCATCTTACATACTAGCACATTCATGCTTCCCTAACTTTTCATTAATCATACTGACCTCATGATTTGGGGCTGAGGATTGAGGAGGATCCATAAGATATGGAACAACCACTAGGGTCTCTTTTTCTTTCTCATTTCTCCTTAGCCAGGCCACCCTTTCCATTCCACATATAAGATCCCCTACCTCTGACTTTCTGACTAACTTGATTTGCCATCTGAGTTCTAATTTTAGAGCAAGGCTTAACCAGGTCAGGGAGCTGCGCATACAGGTATCTCATGTGTTTTTATCTACATCATAATTTAAAGGGAACTCTTGTCAAAGCTGGGCAAAAATGACAAAACATTTTCCATAGATTAATTGTATATAATTTCAGGTCAGGTATTTCCCAAAGAATTATTGGGCCATTGCATTAAAAAGTGTGCCTGCAGGAGCAATAAAATACTTTCAGGTAATTTTACCAGGTTGGAAGGATAACGGTGTCTTTGCCTCTACCATTAAGGCTTTTTTGTTTTCTCTGTCACATTCATAGTTAGTATTTTACAGAATTCTCTATTTCTTTTTATTCTTTTTACCTGTTGTGATATATGCCATTTACATATCTCAGAGGACTTCTTCTAAGGGGCAGAAAGGCATTAATATGTCATATCACGAAAAGAAATAGTACTGAAAAGGGGAAAAAGAGCTTTTATCCAGCTAAAGGCAAAAACTTACACTGAACTAGCAATAAAATATTTTCAAGGGAGCATTTTAAAGATATATGCCAAAACAAAGCTTATTTAAAAATTTTTCCTGATTTGATATTGATAACTCCTGATACTTTTGTCTTCTATTTCAGTAGAGCTTTAAGAAACTTAAGCTTTATTTCCTTTCCAGATGCTATTTTTAAGGATTAATGCAAGTTACAAACTCCACTTGAAAAAGCAGTTGTCTCATTTAAATGTGATAAATGATGGAGGACCTCAAAATGGGTATGTTTTCAAAATATTTTTACTATGCCCATATCAAATTGTTACATTGGTTTTATGCATTATGTTGTCCTTTTCTATTATAATTATGCTGGAGCCCAAAAATTATAAAATCAGCAACCTTTTGCTTTTTTCCTCTCTGTGGAGATAATATATATCTATATCTATCTACGTTAAAGTGTTTTTATAAATGGTCAATTACTTAACTGACCTTATATGTCTGTTTTGAAGCAGTGTGGGTTAGTAGCACCTGCTTAGATTACCCAATAGTCTTCCCCTATCCAGACAGGACTCAAAGCCTTACTTTGTAGCTGTGTCACCATTATTTTATAAATAATTAACCCTTGTGCCTTATTTATAAAATGAGGAGGATAAAGTCTGCCTAATTCCTTCATAGAGTTACTAAAAGTGTGAATATGTACATACTTTTCTTTAGGGTACATATTTACAAGTGGATTAGAGCAAATGTACATTTCCACTCTACTAGGTATTGCCAGAATGTTCTGCCAAATGGCTGTACCAAGCTTACACTCCCACCATTTCTCTCTATATCCTGCCAACATTTGCTGTTAGGATTTTTTGTTGCCAATATGATGGAAGACAATGGTATTTTATTTTGATAGGCATTTTCTAATGCTTGTTATATTTTCATATATTTGTTAGTCATTCAGAGGTCCTCATCTTGTGATTTTTCCTGTTCACATTCTTTGCCCATTTTTCTTGATTTTAGATTTTTCCATATACCCTCAACCTAATCCTTTGTTGGTTATATATGTTGCAAATGTCTGGTTTTATGTTTATCAGTTTTTCAGTTTATATGTTAACATTTTCAATACACTTTCTCATATAGACTAAAAATAGTGTTTATTAAACATAACGATATTTTAAAATGTAGATTTATATTGTTTAATTTTAATGTAGGGTTATTGCCTTAGAAAAGCTGTTGTTTTTTTTTACTATTGCTGTCAGTTTCAATGTACTTACCATATTATCACAAGAAGTATAATGTGAATTTTTAAATAGATTTTAAAGCACCCTAAATTAGATTAATTTCAAACAAAAAATATGGTCCTTAGTAAATTCTGCCATATGATAAAAGGTAAAACTTAAGTGCATAAGTCCAAAGGTATTTATAAATTAGACTGTAGTGCAAATATTAAGGGTACTTGAATACCTTTGCCCCAAGGTAGTAGTTCAGCAATCCAGAACTTACGTGTTCATTAAAATATTAAAGCCAGATTCCCTCCTATTTTTTACAAACCACTAAATCAAAGTCTCCTATTTGTTTTTCCATGGGCCACATCTTTCAAAATATAATCAGACCTGCCCCTATTTTTTATGCATGGAGCTTTGATATTTGTGTTTAAATGTTCTTGCCAGGAATATTTTTTTTTTCAGAGATAGGCATTGTGACAGATCAGTGTAATTCTCTTTTCATCAAGTGTTGTTGTATTGATTATCAGTACTGTGATTTTATTAGTCATAAACATGTATACTTTAGTGGCATCTGATCAAAAAACAGTTTAACCTGTTATTTTCTCTATTTTGTTTTATTATAAAACAAATCTATTGGGCAGAATTAATTATGAAACGGAGTCCAACCTGCATTGGTTTATTCTTTTTAAAGACATTTATTGTTGAAATAGAACATATGATAGCAGGAATCCTGCTAAGATATATTGATTGACATTTGGTCCCTAGGAAATCTGAATTTTAAGTAACAGTCGAGCAGCTAGGCTAGGACTTTTGACTCTGTGAGCATTGCTACTTTATTTGAATAGAAAGTGTGAGATTAAAAATAATTTTCTCTCCAATGTTTAGGTTGGTCACAGCAGATGTAGCTTTTTACACTGGAAATCTTCAAGCCTTAAAAGGCCTTAAAGATTTGGACCTAAATATGGCTGAGATCTGGGAACAGAAGAGGTGATGACATACTGGAAAACTGGGTAGCCTGACCATGGGATGTATGTGTTTAAGAAAATATGGATGCCTGTGATTCAAGAACTGAACCTGGAACCCAAGTGAACTGGGGTAGGAAAAGGGGAAAAGGAAAGTATCAGTGATGGGAAGCTGGGATTCAGTGGGATCTACAAGGAATGCCAGTTTTATGCTTCCTTCAGTGAGGAATAACTGATCAGGTGTCTATATTTTTCATTCTCTCTGGAAACAGACTCAGGTTTCTTTGGACCAAATCCAAAAGAACACATAGCTGTAACACAGCTGTAGTTGACTAGAATGCTCTGTATACTTTATATTAAAAAATGCTTTGCATTTCTTCCAGTGCAATGAAATTCATATGGTGTCCCACCTTTATTTAATGATGGTACAATTTAAAATATTAAAATCTTAGTCAATCTCTGTAGAAAGTTTCTCTATGAAAGTAAAACTGTTTGAAAATTATTTTTTTACAGATCTTTCTATAAAAAAATAAACATCTTTTGATTGCTTGGATTTAGGAATTCAGTTTTTTTTCAGTGACCAATGTCAAGTTTTAGGCTTTGTGTGCTGCATATTTAATCTTTCTACAACCACTGGGTGAAGCCTTCCAGAATAGTCTAAATACTTGAAAGGATGATCACAAGTAATAAAGAATAAGGTATTAGTGTTCATTTATGAGCTAATTTAAATACTTTTCAGAAGTGATATATGAAAGCCTGCAGTTTAATAGTTGTATTTTTATAAAAAATATGAAGGGTTTTTTTTGCCTTTTTTATTTCTAGCAGAGGTAAGAATACATTTTTATATATTCTGCCTACTTATGAGTTTTCATTTTAACATGTAACATATGCAGTGTGGCTCCCTTGGGTTCTTGTTTTTAAGTTACTTTCGATGTGTATATGAACAAAGACCAGGGAGAAATAGAAAATATAAGCTGCTGTGTTGGGGCCTGAAATACAAGGTGATGAGTAAGTTATTTAAAGACTTTTTTTTTTTTAATCCTCACCTGAGGATGTTCATTGATTTTAAAGAGAGAAAGGGAAAGAGAAAGTATGTGTGTGTGTGGAGGGGGGAGGGAGACATAAATTGGTTGCTTTTCATTCACGCCCCAACCGGGTACTGAGCCTGCAATCTAGATATGTGCCCTGTCCGGAAATTGGACCCACAGCCTTTCGGTGTATGGGATGATGCTCCAACCAACTGAGCCACACCGGCCAGGGTAAACTTTATAAGTTACCTTCAAAATAGAATCAGCAGCACGCTACAAATGAAAGTGCCTGTGTCTCACCTCACACCAGGAATCTTGCCTAACCCTATCAGAGTGCCTAACTTTGTAGTGATTATGTACAATGAAATAGCCTTATTTTGTGCTCTTTGATCTCCTAAAAGGAAAGCCTGTTTTCTTTCCTTTATCATTACAGAGGTATGTCATTGGTTCTTAACTGTCTGTCTAAAATAAAGCTGTAAACAATTACCAGACTTTAAAAGACTTTTTTAATAGTATACTGTAAACTTTAAATAAGCAGCCTACTGAAAAATAAGTATGGAAGAACTGGAAAATGTAATTGATTCTTAAAGAAAAGCAACAAATTATACTATTAGTAGACCTGATTTGAAAGGCTATTCAAGAACATTTTTCAGTGACAAGCAAGCTTCAAGGAAAGGGAACTTTTGAAAAAGTTATACCCCCACCCATTATACTAGAGAACAAGGATGTGAAAGAAATGCCCTACCTCTACCCACCCCAGCTCTTTCAGCTGGGAAAAGAAACACCACTTTGTTTCAATAAATGGAGAGCCTGTGGAAAAGCATGGCAGGCACCCCAGTTTTAGAACTAAATGAAAGGTACTAATAAATACCTTCAAATTTAATTCCTATGGAAATAATGATGTGGTTAAGATTCTTAGAAGTGCAAAAACTTGATTTTTTAGGTAACTGGCCAGTGAATATAAATATTCCAAGAATAAAGCTTTCAACTGATAAAGTAACTATTTAGCAAGAGTATACCATTTTTCTTCACCATTTCATAAAGTTAACATTGAAAAGTATAAGTGTACACATGTATTGCTTCACAGCTTTATTTTTGAAATCACAAGCAATTCAAAGTGACCATCATTGAGGCCTCTGTTAAAAGATTTCCCAGCAGAGCTGCCCCAGTTTTAAGATTAAACAATATTGCACTTTAAGATGAACTTCCAGGATCCTCTTCCAAGAAGAAAAGTATTGCTTCCATCTGTGCTTTTCTTAGACTAAAATAAAAGCATACTGCAGAAAACTCTACTTTAAAAATTAATACTACAGGTACAGTAAACACAATAAAAGTACCTGCCTATTATAGAATGCTAGAGAACATTTTGTTGTAAGAAACTAGCCCATGATTAGTATAAAGTGTATACAGTATTTTTTCATTTCAGTGGTCCAAGATACGAAGGTTCCCAGATACAATCTTGTTCTCTAATACTGCTCCAGGTGGGATGTCAATTCGGTCACCATGATTGGCAATGATGATAACTGTTCCCTAAGTGACAGGGAAAACAAAAAGCAAGAGTGTACTTACAACTGAAGCTGAAATGCAATTGATTTTTCTTACAATTATCAAGTTTATGTAGAACTCTACTGGTGATGGAGTAACTGTATAAACAACATTAAACTTGAAAAACAAGTAACATGTTAAGGAAAACTGTAATGTGTCCTCTGTATCAATCCTGGCAGTAGTTCCAGATTCCTCGAATCATCAGAGGTGGTACGAGGAGTGAGAAGTGAACCCAGTGCCACAACATGACTGGCCCTTTCAAAGAACTACTTGCAAAGCCACCAGCATTATTTGCCTTCACAAGGAAACTGAAGGGTGCTTAGTTTATATTTACATAACAGTTTACAGATAAATTTTTCATATCTTAAGTGAAACTGTTTAGATGAGGCAATATCAACAATAAAGTTCTTTATATATGTGTGATGTGTGGTTGTATATATGTAGATATCTCATACATACATATTTGTTTTTTCAAAATCTTCATTTAAGTAACTGAAATTTAGGTATGGGATTAAAAAAATATACTTGATTAGAAAAAGCTATTGTATCTTTGGTTCTGAGTTTTAATACTTATACCCATAGTCCTTCTTATGCTAGTCTGGAATGATGGTTATAAAAGTACCCAAGTACTAAGTAATGTGAATGACTATTGTTTATAATAGTTGATGACAATAGATTAGTTTAACAGGAATAGATTATACTCAGTATAAATGAAGTTCTCACTTTTCTACTTTCATTTAGATTCAAATAGTCATCTTTAGTGAACTAATGCTAATTTAATAATGATTCTATTTTAAAGATTGTCCTTTTTCAATAAAATAGTGCCAGCCCAATTATTTATTAGTGTTTGCTTTCCATTTGAATGCTGTATTCAACAAAATTCCTATATACAACTATTATGATTGTATTTTAATTATGCTGTATATCAATGGAAGACACTGTTAACACTAAATACTGTAGTAAGCTATGTCATTTTTAAAATGTATTTCTATCTTATAAGTATCTGGTACAGACTAGGAAGTATTCCTTAAAATAAAGGTAAATCTAGGACTAGTAAATGAAACCTGTTTGTAAAGCTGTAAGATCTATAAATTTCATAACAACACACCTTTAATGAAACGTGCTTGCCAAATGTTACATCTCCTGAAACTGTGAGGTGATCCAATTCAAGCATATCTGGTATACTTTCGAATCTCCTTAGGTAATCCTGAACCTGAAAGAAAAATAGAAATATATAAATTGTTTCAAAAATAGGTTAAGGGTTAAAATAACAAAATAGTTTAATGAAACATTCTGTTTATGGCCAAGTTTAGGCCCTCTATTGGAAGAACCTATTTGTTAAGCACTCGCTATATGCTAGATCCTGTGCAGGAGAGACCAGGGGATAGAACATTGTCCCTACCATCAAACAGTTTACAATACAGCTCAGCAGATCAGACATCCTATATAATAAAAGCCTAATATGCAAATTGTCCCCTTGGGCGGTCTTTCGACTGCTCGCTACACGTGCACTGACCACCAGGGGGTGGTGCTGGCCCCTATCAGAGCAGGACTGAGAGCAGGACAGCGGCAGGATGGTGGAGCAGGTGAGCGGGCAGTACCAGGCCAAGGTGGGTGTGAGCAGGGACCCTACTGCCCCGCAGACGGTGACCAGCAGTGGCGGCGGGGGTTGGGGCCGCCACCTGGCTTCCAGGTGCTGAGGGAGCCAGGTAGGGCCCTGACTGTCTGCCCTGCAGGCAGGATGGTGGAGCAGGTGAGGAGGCAGCGCCAGGCCAAGGCTGGGTGCTAGGCGGGGCTGCGGGGCTGGGAGCGCAAGCTGGGACTGTGAGGCTGGGGGGTGCAAGCTGAGGCCCGATCTCCACAGGCCACCCTGAGGGACCCCACCCGTGCAAAAATTTGTGCAGTGGGCCTCTAGTTAGAAAAATAAAAAGATAACCAACTAACATGCCAAGAGCCAGATGAGTAGTTCAGATAATCTGAAGTTGGAAAAAGAGAGAGAGATCATGGTCTGAAGCAAACTAGACTGGAGCTGGGCTTTAGGGATGGGTAGGATTCAGAAGAAATGGAAGAGCAACTGCACGAATTATCATTATAAATCATCACTGTCTTTGCTTCCTATTTCCTTATATTTATAGGCACTAGAAATTGTCCTATAGGGCCTTATTTCCTATTTTGCTGAGAAAAACAGAAGCAATCAGAAAATTTACACTTATACCACCACTGCTACCACCGCCACCATCACCCCTTTTTTGCCCCCCACCCCCACCCATTACTCTGTCCCTTCTAATACTGAGGTTGGACTATTCCTACTCCAACTTAAGACCAGCCCGTCTTAAGGCCTGTTCAAGAATACTGTCCAGCAATTCTCCTTTCTCCTTCTTCAGTGTTTTTTCCCTCTTGATTGCATCAATTCACATCAATGCATAGACACGTTATAAAGTCTCCCATCTTTACAAAATCAAAACAAAAAACCTCTCATATCCCTTTCTATGGCACCATTTTTGTTTCTCTTCAAGGCAAAATTCTTGGATTCATATCTCCAATTTCTCTTCTAGTCTCTTTTAAACCCATTCCAGTCAGCCTCCAAAACCTCTATACTGATCAATCTAATGGTAAATTCTCATTCATCTTATTTGATTCAGAAGTAGCACTTGACCAAGATGAACACTCCCTCTTTTCTTCATTGGGCTTTCAGGACATATATCATTCATTGTTTTCTACCCAGTTCCTAACCTGTCTCTCTTCAGTCACCTTTGCTGCTTCTTCCATCCCCATCCTCTAAGCCTTGGAGTACCTCAGAGCTCAGTTCTTGGACTCCCCCACCCCCTCAACTCACTCTCTAGGTGATCCTTATCTTACGGCTTTAAGTACCTAAGCTGACAACTCTCAAATTTATCTGTCTCTTCTAGATCTCTCTTCTGAGCTCTAGACTTAAACATTCAGTTTCTCCATTTGAAGGTCCAATAAGTATGGTGTCTCCAAAACTTACTGCTCATCCTGCTCTGCCTAAACCTACCCTACCCATGCTTTCCCTCTTCAGTAAACGATAATTCCACGTTTCCAGTTGCACAGGCTAAAAACCTTGGAGTCATCCTTCCTCTTCTGTTGTACCCTCTCATCTATTCCAACAGCAAATCCTAGAGGTACAACTTTCAAAATATCTCAAAATGTCAACATTTTTCATTATTTCCACTGCTACCACCTTAGTCCAAGCCACTGTTTCCTTTTTCCAGGATTCCTGCAACAACCTATTCCCCAGTCTCCCTGATTCTGTCATTGTTCCCTGATTCACTCCTCAGCTCACAACTCACCAATGGCTTCTCATCCACAAGAGAAAAAAGAAAGCCACACTCCCAATACTTAATTACAAAGTTCTACATAATCCACCCACCCCCAGTCCCTTACTTGCTTACTCTGCTCCAGCCGTATTATACTCTCAAATGTTCCTAAAACATGTTCTTCCTCAGATCAACTAGCTATTGCCCACTCAGCCCCTGTTCGTAAATCGAGGCAGCAAACGTTCTTTATCTCCTGCAGGATATGGAAGAGGCTAGGGAGAATGGGAGGGAATTGAAGGGTGCATGAGGCTAGGTGAAATACGGATGGCAATTCCATCTCAGGATGTGAGAAGATGGTGGGTCCTTGTATCACTAGGATTTTCCCAGCCCAACCAGGCTGATAAAAGAGGTACCTAATAATTGGGAGACTTCTAAGATGCCAGACGCTATCCTGGAAATTCCAGCCCAGCCTCAGTACCTAGAATCCTCCCCCGTCAATATAGGAGGCAGTACACACATCCACACCAGGTGGCACTAAACCACAACCAACACTAGCATAGACTTGGATGGCACAGCAGGACTCCACATTCCAGCCACACGGCTCACCCTGCCACTGCATTAACCTCTCAACATTTTACGTGATTTTTTTGGATTCCACTTATCATGAT